CAAACATGCAAAAAAATAAGAAATCAGGAAGGGGGCAAACACTTTTTCACACCACTGTATAACAGGACAAGAAGTAGAGCACAAAAAATTAGCAAGAAACCAGATCACATTTGATTAACAATTCAATATAAGACTACTTTATGTTAACATATAGTGCATATTTCCCATACAATTGGGATTAGTAAAGGCACATTTTGAGCATAGCCAAAAAAAATCAAGACAGCAAATTAAAAACAACAGCATCGAGCAGGCAATTTAATACTAGCAGTGTTTTCAGACACAGTCTAACATTTGGAGGTTTATTGTGAGAGAAAAAGGGAACCAATCCAATTTGCCATTTTGTGTCCTAGTAAGAGCCAAATCATAGTATGAGAGCAAAGCCTTTCTATTACAACTTGGACAGAAACAAGGTTTATACATACTTCACCTTGTCTGATTCAATTAATTTGAAAAAGCACCTTAACTCAGGTCTTTGTCACCTTTCTAAATGGTTAAGAACCTACGAGACAACCTATTGTAAATCCTTTTCATTTTTTTCCCATTGCCACTTGACACTGAAACGGCAGAAAGTTTGCAAACAAAAGGAAAGAAAGTGCTCAAGCTGTCAAAAGCCACAGCACAAAAACATCCCCTCTTTTTCCCAGAATGCTCCGATTTTTTGCTTCACATGTTATTCTTGGGTCTCTCTCACTATTTACACTTATACAGTCCACTTCACATACTCAGCTACAGCAAACTCAATTTTCTCAATGTTTTGCACAATGTAGAAATGAAAAGCTTTTGAAAAACAGAAATCCCATTAAGCGTTGGCTAATTAAAGTATTTCTTGGTAAAGCAATACATGGATTAATTTAAATATTACAATGTAATAAACTGGAACGATGGGTGGGTTTTATGGGATGTGTATAGAAACAGGTACAGGTATCTATGTGTTGCATGTGTAAGTCTCCTAAAAGGAACTGTAAAGCTCACAGACCAATCGCCACGATGCTGTGTCTGCCTGCATGCTGTGCAGGTCCTCACTTGCCTACACTGATTCCAAATTATATGGATACAAACCAACAACAATTAGCAATCCCTAATTTTAAAAACACTGCCAAGATGTGAACAATGACAGTCTGCAATTCAAAGCACATTGCTTAAACCACTGTGGCAACAAATATTTTCTCAGAACCTCAACACCTGCTCTTTAAAACAACCCCTTCAAAACTAGTCTTGCTTCTTTCGTTGTCTGCATAACTGGCAAGGATGATATGTTGCTGTTATGAAATTATTTCCCTTGGGAAACTGCTGCTTTATACACAAGCAGACTGTCTCCATTCAGAGAAGCCTTCAGTTTCCACTGCGTGTATGTTGTCCCACAGGAATGCCGATCAGAACTTAAAGAGCCTGCAGAGCTCTTCAAACAAGCCCATGCAAAAGGACCCATACGTACGTGTCGTGGCGATGAGGAATCTGGCTGCACACTCTAAAGCAGACAAAAGAGAAGAAATTAAAACTGGTTGGAAAAATGAGAACAACCCTCAGAAATCAGCAGTTAAAGTTCAGCAAGATTCCAGTGTTTTATACTAAACTGAGAGTGGAAATTGAAAACGCAAGTAAACCTCTGTTTATTTTCATATACCGTGTTTGTCTTTTGATGAAAATCTACAACATTTCCCTCTGTAAACACAAAATCTTGTCGAAAAAGACTGCCATCAAACACAAGAGCAAATGGAGTTCATACCTTCTGACACTTAAATTCCACACAGCCATTTTACAAAATTCTGTGCATTTGCCAGAAAACAACAAACATGAAAAAAGCACCCATTAAATAAACTATCAGGCACTTTAATATGCTTTAGAACATGATGGCAAGGAACACAAAGGAAAATGATGTCTAGCATTTACCAAAAAGGATATTTTGAGAGATTTTTGCAAAAGACAGGCTTTCTGCACTGCTTTGGTCCAGAATTTCATTTTGCAGACTGTATCGTATAAACTGTTAACTGGGAGCTATGTCAAAAGCTGATACCCAGACCATTTTAGAAACCCCATTACCTTGCTGTATTGTATTTGTTGTTCAAGTAAACTGGTGGTTATGCAAGAGTACACTGGTTTCAAAGGGAGCTGTGACGCATGACCAGTTCGACTCACCTTCAGTAGGGAATACTGGCAGCTAGCAAGGACAAGGCAGAACTGAAAAACCCAGATATCGGTGAAGAACCCGTGGATGAGAAGCACCGAGCCCAGGAATGCCACCAGAACGGCCAGGGTAACTGCCAAGGCATTCTCCAGAACCTCCCGGTTCCTATCAACACAAACACACGCAGGGAGCTCTCCTAAGTCCACCCAAGTATCATACCAGCAGTGCATGAAGTCCATTAGGTTGAACAATGAAGAGGTCGGCTACTCAGCTAACCCATTTAGAGAAGATACAGTCAGCAAAAACTAAACAGAATATTCTTTTTTGTATAAGTATTCAGTCCTGTAAACTCAACATTTGGTTGAAGGCACCTTTGGCTGCCTATACAGATACAAGTCTGGTTTTGATTCTACCAGCTTTGCTTTGGCCGTGCATTCAGGATTACCGTCTTGCTGAAAGCTGACATTTTGCCCCCGTTTTAAGTCTTTGGCAGACTAAAAAAAGGTTTTCTTCTACTATTTGCTTGTACTTGTGCTCTTTTTCTTCTTCACACTGGAAAAGCATGATTCACTGTAGGGATGGTGTGGACTGGGATGTGCACTATGTTGGTCTTGTGCCAGTTTTATGTCTAAAGCAGGTTTTCCTCTAAGCTTTGCCATTCATTTGCTCCTCCTATGTTCCCATCAGTCTTGACAAGTTTCCCAGTCCCTGCTGATGAGAAGCAGGACAATAACGTAATGCTGCTTCCAACATGACTGTAGGGATTGTGTTGACTGAGTGATGTACTATGTTGGGTAGGTTCAGATTTAATGCTTTCTACTTAAACCAAAAGGTCAAAATTTTGTCTGACCACATAACCTTTTATAGTATCACATCAATGTTTTGTTGCAGATTTCTCTTTCACCAGGTCTGTGCCAGAGGATAAAGAATATACTGTATTTTTGAGGCACTTACATGAGCTGCAAAGGTATAGCTTTGACAACTGGGGGATTAGAATTGTTTATTTTTACTGTTGACTATCCTGCTCTAACTTTTCTATATTTTCCTAACAATATAAATTATCTATTTGCTTCTATTTGTTTTTTGCACTGAAAGTGCGCAGTAGGTTGTGTCTCTGACAAATATTAATTGCTTCTTCAAAATGTCATAACTGCAAGCTTTAAAGCAACAGAGTGCGAAAACAGTGCAAATGTCTGAATACTCTTTCCTCTGCGAGGCACTGATACGATTAGAGCCACACTCACAGAGGGCCATGCAACACCTGGCACATTTGATAACCTGACAATTTTAATGACCTGAACTGACTGCTCCACATGAGCGGTGGCTTAACGGCCGGTACCTGTCGAAAAGGGCAAGCAGCGTGAGGCGGTCAAAGTTCACACCGATCCACAGGTAGGGCAGCAGCCAGAAGCGGTAGTACTGCTTGGCTTTACGAGTGGCTCCCTCTGGTGGCAGCGAGGCATCCTGCAGATCCGGGCTCAGGTCAGCATCCTGCTGCTCCAAAAGCTCAGGGTCAATGGTCAGCAAACGGTTCAGATGGATCTGAGGGAGAGAAATCTGCCCGTGTGTCAATAACAGCACTTCTACACTTACCTGGCTTTATTCTTGACTCTGATTTAAAAAGTCTGTGTCGCATGATCAGACTAAATCAACTTACCACCCATTGTGGAGTAACTACAACCCCCAGAGTCTCTGTAAGATTTCTTTCAATTTTTTTTACCGTTTTCCTTGTCTATTCAAAGGATGACTAGATATTAAGACTGCATTATCTTTGAACTCAGTCTGCCAGCTTGGTGAAGATTGATTTTTTTTAATAATAATTGTTTGGGTCTTTGGAGCACTTTCTCATCCCAAAGGATTCCAAAGTGCTACACATATAGGAAAGGAGCTACTGTACTTCATAAATCACAGAACTGCAGCTACCACTGGGGCAGCCCCGCTAGACAGCAGGCAAGGAGAGAGGAGGAGTGAGAAACTGCTTTATCAACTAAAGTGATGGGGACTTTAGGGAGGTCAGATTATGTAATCTCAAAATCGAAGTTATTCGGGACATCAGTGGTAACTGTTTCAACAATGAATTCCTGAAGTCAACAAGGTTAAGCTGCCTATTGGCGTACGCTGTTTCGAATGGAGAGCTAATGACAATAACAGCAATAAAGCATTTTTTTTAGAAGTGCTGAATAAAGTAATCTATAAGTGACAGCTTTGATGCATTTCATTTAAACAGCTATTAAGCTAAATTGTGCTGCCAGGGGAAAGGCTAATCTACATTATTTTGGACACATTTAGTTAGTCCATTTTAGTTCATCATGCCATCTGTAAAATCATATCTCAGATCCTGCTTGTTTCCAGTGAAATGTTTATCTCAAGAATCATTTGAAGACAAACAACTTAAAACTGATTTTGAAGGGGAAAAGTATAAAGAGATATATGCCCCGCCAACAGCCCTTTATACAATGACATTACAGAAAAGATCTGATCTGGAATGCCATTTTACCTGGTGCAGGTGCACAACATGAGCACTGGATTTAATAAAGTGCAAGGTCGCAACAGAATGAAATTATACGATCAATTATTTAATCAAATGGCATAAGACGTTGCATAATTACTGAATACATAGTTTGGCTAGTTTCGCTGGTAATCTTTTGCTATATTGTCAACAACACAGAAAGAAATGGGAAAAAATTGCAGAGCTTATGTTATTGGAGCAGCGGGCAGTGGAAAATTGTAGGTTTCTGAGATGCAACAAGTGCAGATCACCAGCTGCAGAAAACTGTGACGGACAGAGCACATATTCGGCTAAATAAGCATTGCTCCCACTGGCTTGTGAGTAGAGCCTACACACACCAGCTACTTACTAGGTCATGAGGATAAAAGCGAACTGAGGTAGAACTGGAAACGTGGGAATCCGTGTCCCTGTGAAGAAAATGAAAAAGCATTTCAATGCACTTGGGCACCGATTGCAGTACTCAACATCCTCAAGCACCCTGGCCAAGTCAAATCAGGAGACTCAAGACAAGCACCCATACAAGCACCCAGGGACCCAAGCGAAAATTAAGCTTAAAAATATTCAGGAAAGAAAAGAGGACATAATTCTGTACATAGAAGACTGTGGGATCTGGCTTGATGGGATCATAAAGCTACTAGCTAACGATGAACAAAATGAACCAAATGATCACTCTCTTCTGTAACCTTCCTCATGATCAACACAGTGTCAGCAGCAATAGCCCTTTCCTTAAAAAAGATATCTGAGGACTGGCCCTGAGGGGAAATGGCCAATCTACCGGTATTTGCTACCATTATTAAAGGAAATAAAAACATGAGAGTAAGAACCTGTATCATAAACTGTATTCATGTATATCAGGTATGGTATTGTTCAGCCATTCTTAAGTCACATCAGTTGCACCCACAACTACAGCAACATCCCATGTCACAGAACAAAAATACTTTAATGGATAAAAAAACCAGAAGGAAGGAAGGAACCTGGCATTTTCAATCATTAATAAACCAACCTCCCGAAGGACTTGACATTGATGGATCCGATGTTGCCCTCCACTTACCAGATGTTGTTTGATGCTCGTCTTGTAGCAGGTTCAAAGTTCACCAGAGACACGTCGCAGCCCCCAGCCTCGTAGAGAGGAGGTGTGAACTTCCCTGAAATCAGAAGAGACCAACAGAGACACCCCAGCTGAGTCGCACTCACATCCTGGAGCAGTGACAGAGGGCTGAAGACACACAACCATTCCCATCAACCACAGCAGTTTCTTAAATGACAAAATGAGGAATTTCACGGTGGCTGCAATAGCAAGGGAACATTCATTTTTAATTAGGAATACACACAAATATGCAATTCACTGTTTATTTAACAGGACAAGCCAAAGCTCATAAAAAATCCATGCAGGCAAAATAAATGAATCTCAGCACCCCAGCTTTTTAACATGAGGAGGCTACCAATTAAAGAGTCTTGTATAATCTTGAAGGCAAAGTAAAGACATAGCACAATCAAGCTTTCCTATATACATAATAATCAAACAACTCTTGCCACCAACTTTTGCACAACGTACAAAAACTCAAAATTAACCTTGTTGTACTCCACTGTACTCAACCTAAAAAGGATATTTGAAGTGTGGGTGATGCAAAGCATCATGATTTTTCTTAAACAAAAGGAAATATCCAACCCATACATACCAAACATATCAGTGGATCAAAGCAGATGTAACTGCAGTTTCACTCAAAAGAGAGTGATAGTTTTTGCACTTAACCAGTGTTAAGCACAGAAAATGATTCACAAAGTTTAGAAAAAATAAAAGGTTTATGGGGCCAATCAACAACTGCACAATACTTCCTTTAATAAAAATGTATTTACTGCCCCCCAAGAACAATTGCAAACATTTACAAAGCACCTGTATATGGAACTTACAGTGCCTTCAAAAAGACTTCACCTTCACCTCAAGAAGTAAGATCAACAGGAGATGGAAGGAATACAGAAACACCCATGGAACTCGGTTGTCTGTAGTGGCTTTCATTGGGTTCTTGCATATTGTACTTATGAATGCATTGAAAATATATTTTCTGTTGATTTACACAACATATGCAACAATTTAAAGGAGTAAAAATATCTCCAATAACAAAAATGCCTGAAAAATGAAAAAAGGAAATATCTTGTTTACTGAAGTATTCACCTAGAGTTAATACTTTGAAGAAGCACCTTTTTGCAGGCTTTAAGCCTTCCTGTGTACAGTATGTCTGCATCAGCTTTGCACATTAGGAGTTGGGAGTTTCCACCCACTCCTCCTGGCAGTTTTAGTCAAGGTCAGGCCAGCTGAATGGGGAGTGTGGGTGAACTACAATCTTCGAGGCCTTCCAGAGATTCTCAATAGGGGTCTGGGCTTTGGCTGGGTCACTCAAGAACATTCACCTTCTTGTTCTGAGACTACTCCAGTTTCGCTTTGGCTGTACACTTGGAGTCATTGTCTTGTTGGAATGTGACTCTTTACCCCAGTCTAAGCTTTTTTGCTGAAGCAGGAGCACTTCAAGGATTTGTCTGTATTTGGTTTCATTGTTCCCTCTAGTCTGACACGTGTGCCAGTCCCTGCTGCTGAAAAGAATCCCCATAAGATGAGGTTGCCACCACCATGATTCATGGAAGGGGTGGGAGGTATTCAGTTTGCGCCAGGCATAGAGCATTGCTTTCAGTCCAAAGAGTTGTAATTTTCTATTTAATCTGTCCAAAGAAGATTTTGCCACATTTTCACGTGACTCCAGGCCACTCTTCCATAGAGGCTAAAACTGTAGTGCTACAGTTTATCTTTGTACAGATACTCCAGTCTCAGCCATGGAACTCTAAAGGTCTGTTAGGCTTTTCATAGGGTCCTTGCTCACTAATCTGACCAAGTGTTTCTGTAGTGCCTTCATGCAGTTTGGGAGACTCTAGGAAATGTCTGGGTTGTTCTGTATTTCTGCCCTTTCCTATTGATCTGGATACTTGCGATGAATACTTTTTGAAGGCACTGTAAGTTCCATATACTTAACAAATGTCCTTCCTACAATGTTAAGAAAACTATGATGAAGTACACAATCTACTTTCAGAATAGAGGTTTCTGGACAAATTTTACAGATGAAAATGTGAATACTCTTTTCTTCCCTTTCGTGAATAATTGCCAAATGCCTCAGAGCACTGCCATAGACAGAGCTATTTCTTTAGACTTTGGGGAACATATTCATAAAGACTTTTCTGCCAAGCTACATTAACCGCAAGTTGCATGTAACAAAAAAAACAAACTCTTGTTTTTACAACAAAATTAAAAAAAACACGAACACGAGTCCTGTGCATCAATGTGTATATACTGTACAGCCTGTATTTATTTCCTCTGAATCAAATAAACTTTCTTTTGTAGTTATTTTCTTTATGGAGTGTAAGTTTGGGGGTGGGTGTGTGCCGATACTGGCCAGGGCAAGCACTACATTCCAACAATTTTACAACATTTTACAAAAAAGGAACAAATTTAAAGGGGAACAGAGAACTGGATACTATTTTATTTATTACAAAAAGACGCCATGGAGGAGCAACAAAAATCAAAACAGTTCCAAGATCCACACGAACTGAACCTCTCTTCACCAGAACAACATTAATACCCACGACATCTGTAGCAGTAACTGGCGTGACTGCAGCAGGGCAGCCACATCACATGACTTCCAAATGTCACGTTAGGAACTTGATTTAGAAAGAATAAATGCTGCCACTGCCAGATCTTATCAAACAGAATCAATTGCAGGTTGCATTTTTAGGTGTTCCACTATATAAACCATTTGAAGTCATTTCAATGGTTTTGCAATATGGTTGATTTAAACAATTCGGGTACTTGATTTATTCCCACAAATGGACTAGAAGTTAAATTGAGCTCAGTAACTCTTATGAATGCTATAGGCATTCATCAATAACTCAGTGAATTACCTGTCTTAATACCACTTTATTTAATTAAAATCACACGTGCTCTACATGCAAAATCAATATCTGGTGAAGGTAAATGACAATGATGAAGAATCCAGCCTAGTTCAGTTAATAGTAAAGAGGTCGACACATTGTGTATAATCAATCCCCAAATCATTTATGTTTTGGACAGATGTAATTTTTTAAAGCAACAGAGAGTCCACAAGCCATGAATAAGACAGAAGTATTTTGAAGAAGAAAAAATAGAGGCTG